TAAGTAATAATACAAGTACAAACTCTGTTTTCTGTACTCACAACTTTAAACCTACTTTTGCCTGACTTGTATTAGTATGAATGAGTTTATGCAGTGAGAATGGCTACATTGAAATGGAATATTTTAGGAGGCAAGGCAAACTCAGTAGTGATTGTGTTTAGAAAAGAAGTGTCTATGTGAGACAGTGGTGTGGAAAGGGACAAAGACAAACTTATTTTATATCAATAATTTGCCTGAACTCAGTTCCACATCCAGAAAAAATAGAGAAAAAACAAAAGAAAATTGAAACCCCATGCCTTCTAGCGCTGAGTACCCTTTCTTTTTCCAGGACTCAGGTGAGTTCTGCAGTTTTTGAACTATGAAACCTAAATACTATCGATGCCATTACTTTTATGAAAAAAAAGAAAAAGAAGTAAAAGATGGTTTGGTCCAGTGGATAGAGTGTCGGCCTGTAGACTGAAGGGTCCCAGGTTTGATTTTGGTCAAGGGCATGTACCTCAGTTGCAGGCTTGATCCCTGGCCCTGGTTGCGATGTGTGAAGAAGGCAACCAATTGATGTGTTTCTCTCACATGGATGTTTCTGTCTCTCAGTCTCTCCCCCTCCTTTCCACTCTGTCTAAAAATCAATGGGAAAATATTCTTGGGTGAGGATTAACAACAAAAACAACAAAAAGTCTTCTTAGATCAAATAACAAATTACTTTTTCTAAACAGTTTCATTTTAGTTTTCAAAATGCTTGCTATATCCCCAAACTAGAGTCAGGACCTCTGGTAACCTGTCTTTTAGGTTCTGGATGGTGCTGAGAAGTAAAAAATATGTGTTTTATCTGTGTAACACAAATTTTCAATAGCAAGCAGTAAAAGATAGTAGAGAAAAACTAAATAAAAAGAAAGCAAGCTCTATGAATTTGGGTTTCCTATATATTATTAATTCAGAGGATGATCTAAAATTTGTATTTATTCAAAGTCAGTGGTATTGGGAATTTTAAAACAGACCTGTAAAATCCCCAACAAATGAAAGTCAAAGTTTAGTGACATTCATTTGAAGATAGGAAAGAAACCAGATTTTAGATTGGTTTTGATAACATAAAGGAGTCCAGGAAAATAGGCAACTAAATTTCACTAGTTTGTTAGATATTAGGTTTTATAATGGTTAGACTGTCAAAATGGGTAGTAGAGTGCACTGGTTAGAAGAATGGGCTTTGGACTCAATCAGACATGAATCTGGCTCTACTCTTTCAAAGTTAGTTATTCAGGGCAGTTTTTAAAAATCTCTGTAAGCCCCAGTTTTCCCATCTGTAAAATGGTTATGAAAATAGTATGTATTCATAAGACTTGGGAGGGTTAACTGAAGAAATTCAGTAAAGTGCCTAGCACAGTTTCTGGAACATAATGATTGTGCAACCAAAAAAAAAAAAGTGATAATTATGATTATCATTGTTAGTAATTTGTTTGAATTTTTGACTAGTTATATTTGTATTCAATTTAGAAAGTTGGCTGTTGTCATCCATATTAATATTTGAGGATTTAAAAGTAGGGATTAGGTAATGATATAAATATTACATGCATTTGTAAATATTCCTTAATACTAATATCACTTAAGTGAACTGATGCTTTTGATCCAGGAGTATACTTTTCATGATGAACACTAAGTTCATTGTCAACTTATATATATTTTATATTCCAAAATCTCAAATGGTGCAATTTTGCATGTAGTGTGTGCAAGACTTCAAGTGCCCTGATTTTATTAATGGTATTTGGCTTGTTTTTAAATTTGGTTGATGGTGCTATTGGCTCTCTCTGATGTCAACCTTTATTTGAAAGTATTTTCTGTTTCTATTGAGATATAATGAAGACAGATAGAAACACATATTTGAAGAAATATCCTTACAAGAAATCTGTTGTACAAATCATGGAAGTACAGAGTATGAAATATAATGTATCAGTTATGACAATTGGGACACCTGATCCAATGTTCAATCAATCAATAACAGTATTTGATTTGATAAAAATTAAACCAGAGTGTTTAAAATATTTGTCCCTCTCTGTCCATTGTCATTTAGTGATGATAATTTTAATAATAGACTCATTTTGAAATCTTGAACATTTGATCTTGTGCAATTACTTGGTGAGAATAGGTTATGAACTATTTTGTATTTAACTGATTATTTAAAAAATGCAATGATGTAAACTCTTGCACACAAACATTAAATTAGTTCAACTTCTGGTTGTTTTCTTAAAAATAGGAATATGGTAAACTCCAGATAGAAAAACCAAAGTTAGGATAAATATTATTTTCTAAGAATTTGTATACTTTCATCTTTCTCTTTTTTCCCTACCACATTCTCTCTTTGGTTATTTTTCATTTGGAAATGGTTTTGGTGAACTTAGTTATAAACTATGGGTTCCTGGCTTTCCAGCATTCACAATTGATTGGAAGGGGAGATGCTTTTTCACATAAATTAACTTTATTTTTCCTTATGTTAGTCCTAATATGATTGTTGCTTTGCTTATTAGATAGACGTTCTTAATACATAGTCTCATTACTTCATGCATTCAGTCTTTGTTCTGTAGGTGTTTCTTGGTTGTACTGCCTGTAAAAACCAATGTGCCAATCCAGAAAGGGTTGAGAAGTGTAGTGTGATTCTATTTCTATACTCAGAGTTTGTCTTCTGAACAAGGAAGTGATTCATCCACTCAAATAATATGATATAAAGTCCCAATAAATTTTAAAAAATGAAAATATACTTTAGAGAAAGGCAAGTTGGTCTGTGGTAAATTCAAATGCATTGTGTATTCCTGTGTATAAATATGTATTTTTACAAGTTACTGCAAGATATGACTAACCCTTAAATATTCATCCCTGCTTAATGTAACTTGATTTTTTTTTTTTTAAATTTCAGATCTGAGTGCAACATAAATTGATAAATGATCCTGAACTCTTTGTTTACAATCAAATACTTTACAGGGCATTAAAAGAGTCTAGTTTCAGAGATATAGACCATCAGTGGTACTTGAAGGTATTTGATCTTCAGTGTTAAGGAGAGGTCTATAAGAATTGTTCATTTAATCTTGTTATTGAAACTATCATTTAAAAAATGATTTGATAGAGTACATCAAATGAAGGTGGAAGTCAGCATGCACACTTGTCTTAAATATTACAAGATCTGGCTTAATTGTCGTCAATTTGGTAGGAGAGAGAAAACCAACATAATTTCAGAAATTCACACAGGTCATTCTGGGATACATATTCTTTGACATGGCCTTTGTAAAATCTCTTTACAACTTTTTGATTTACCTTGTTCTAAGAAATATTTTTTAATAGATTTCTATTTCAATAGATTAAATCTTTAAACTACTCTCATACTTCTCCTTGATGCTTGAAATGTTTTTCAGTGAGTCTAACAGAGGTGTGGCTAAAAACCAATAAAGAAATTGTAAACTTGGTGAAGTTCATAATAAGATCTGTTTTAAAATAAGTTCTTACAGAACTGCTGGCAGAGAAAACAGATTTGAGGACTTTGTGTTTTTCTTTGACCTTCCATTTTGGTGGCTCACTGTTCTCACGTTCATTTCAGATCCACCAAAGCTAAAGCTATAATGTGTTTTACAGTTTTGTTTTTTAAGTTGGAACATTGTTAGCTCTGTATTCCTGTAGCAAAACTTTATATTTTGTTTCCTTTATAGTCTTGTTATCTGGATTATGTCAAAATATCTAAAGATATTAGTGATTTAAGATACTTAAATGTGCACCATACTAGAGTGCACATTAACCTTTGACAATAGTCTTCAATTCTTAAATCTTTTTAAAAAAATATATTTTGATTGACTTCAGAGGGGAAGGGAGGGAGAGAGAGAAATATAAACATCAAAGATGGGAGAGAATCATTGATTGGCTGCCTCTGCCTGCCCCACACTGAGGATCGACCCTGCAATCTGGGCATGTGCCCTGACCAGGAATTGAACCGTGACCTCCTGGTTCATAGGTCAATGCTCAACCACTGAGCCATGCTACCCGGGCTTAACTCAATTCTTAATCGAACAATGGTACTCCCTCCTCAGTGGATAAGATAAAATAGCAGACCCAGAGGAGGTATTTGGGTGTGGAAAGTTTTTGGGGTGCTATGGAATCTCTTTGGTCAATCTCTTTCTGCATTTAAATAGACATCATCTAGAATTTCTCAGATATAAAAATTTACTACATATGTTTCCTAATCACTAGGTGAAAAGTGGCTTCACTGGGAAACTGTCTAAAAACAGTTGCCCCCATTCAGAGATGCATAGTCAGCAACAAAATTCCCTCAGTTGAAACAACTAATTTTTAGAGTTTGACAGTTTATATTTTCACTGTTATTAAAGCACTGAAAATGTTATTTCCTGCTACAGTCCTTCCTTCCTGTTCTAGTTATGAGCAGGAGATGCTAGAAACCACTGTACGTGCATTATCTGTTTTCAACTCCCGTCAAGAAAGGAATGTTGTGCAAAGATCATCTGGAGTTTGTCTGACTTTGATAATGTAGTGCAGAGCAGTTCTAAAAATAGACAGGATTGTTGTGTCCATTAAGAACGGCCTATTTCATCATTGTTGTTTTTCACTTGTAGCCTTGTGCCTTGTATGGTGGTTTCTATTTTTCAGGACAAGCTAAGAAGAGCCATTCTGTGTCTTTGCCCTGGGAATGTGGCGCACAAGAGTCTGTGTTTCTGAGAATAATATTTGGCTCATACAAGGAGCCTGTGTTCTGCAAGTGTCATGTCTAATATATATAAGCAGTATCAGCACTCATAGGAATTGAGGCTTTACAAAATAAAGCCTTAGAATACATACTGAAAAACAATACAGATTTCCTAAGAGCTTGGTAACTGTGTATGTGATAGTTAATAGATTTTTCTCTGTCATCTGGTGAAGGTAAGGGGAGGACTCAAGATTATTAGTAGTCTTATAATTCACTTCACATGTTAAAATTTAGTTCTATATCTTGGTCTTCTCTGTTTCCTTTTTAGATACTAGCTCGGTCATGCACTGAAATCCTGGAATTGTATCCCTCAAGTGTATGTGTGGGGGGTAAGTGGTTAGAATTTAAAAATACCATGTAAGAAAATGTATTTTTTTCCTAGTTAAAATATATGATTTGAAACGCATGTTGGAAAGAGAATAGCAAAATTAACTTTTTTGGCATCTTTGTCTGTAAGAATTTTTAAATAATTCCTTGAAATATTTCTATTTTAAATTCAAATTTTTAAGACTGGAGTGTTATTTTAAATAATGAACATATTGTGTGACAGGCTTTTAGAGTCTTCTGTATATTTAGTTCATGTTTGAGACCTTTCCTATGACAAGTAAAATGAAATATGAAATTTTGTCTTTTATCTTATTATACAGACAGTCATGGATCTGTAGAGTTTGAGCTCCATGCTTTGATAACCAGCCCAAAGGCCATTATTCACCAGCTCAGGACACATAAGGAAGTGACTTAGGGCTTGATGGCAGGAAGGAAGCAGGTGGCTTCTTTAGCTGGTGCTAAGTACAGACTCAGGTTTTAACACATCAAAGCCTTCCTTACCCAGAGCATGAGTCTCTTTGGCCTTTTCTATTTCTCATTCACGTCTGGCCTGGAGTTCATTTTAACCTGACTTTACTTAGGAAAGGAAAAATAATTTGTCTGGTGGGGGAGGAAATGTGCTGTGAAGTTGACCATCAGCCTTCCAACTGCAGGACATGGTGTTGTGTTCTGTACCTTCTAGTCTCCTTAGCTAATGATTACTGAGATGTTTAGAGGGAATAGTGCATTGGGCCATCCCAGCAGTTTTATAATTCCTGATTCACAGATGGGTTAAACTGAGGCAGAGAAAAATTACTATTTGCTATTAGTAATTGTTTTATTAGACTTCTTTGTCTGACTGACTCTAAAGCCCATGTTCTCTTTCTACTGAGTCATATTTTAATTATTACCTGCATTTTATTTTAACTTGTGAGTAAAATTCCTTTTATAACCCACTTAATGGCATGGCAGTATTTTCTTCCGTAGTTACTATTATGTATGTGTTAGATTATGTGTTAGATAGGAGGTATCTGAGGGGATTGAGAGCCAAACACTATCAAAACAGTTATAATATATCATCTTGCAGCTAAGCAGCACACATTTATTTGCCAATCAAGATTTCAGACGTTAACTTTTTTTCTAGCATGTTATTTCACTCTCTAATGTTAAGTGATTACTCCTGTTCATATACATAGAGTACAATAAGTTAAGTCAACTTTCTTTAGTGACTGGCCAGAGATTATCTGTAGTCCAAAATACTTTACCTCCAGTGAGTTATAAATTTGTATGCAACAAAAAATGAATGTGGGATTAGTAATGTGAAGGAGCTGTTAAAGAACTCTGTATGGCGTGTCATACATAGATTAAAGAAAACACAACACATGACAGTTCTAAGAACCAAAGCGCAGCAATCACTAATGTTCTTTACATTCCCATACCTCAGTACCTGAAAATAGAGAAAAACAAAGGGGTTTTATTTCTTCTCATATTTTCCTAAGGAGAGAATTGGGGGAAGTTTGTGTGGTAGATAATATCTCCACTTTTCCCCTAAAGGTCTAAGAAAGCACAGAGAGTTGGAAATAGAGCCATGTCTTCTTTGTTATCAGTTGGCTGAATAGTGTGAAGAAATTCATTCTTTCTACCTTGATTTTTCAAATTATATCTTTTTTTTTGTAAAGCAGTGATTAAAATGTTTATTTTTCTTTTTACTTCTAGAGGAATTTCAAATCGTTTTGAATGGAAGAGGACTCAACTTGGGCAGTCGCGATGGCAGTGTTCTCTGTACCTACACAGTAAATGACACCTACACCAAGAGTAGGTCCCCATAACCTGTGTTGCTTTAATACCTGCTCAGCAAGTCAGTGTCAGATGTTTTCCTCTTTTCCCAACTGAAACCAACTGTCCTATATTTTTTAAAAAAGGAAAGGGAAATGAAGTCCCATGATAATATAAATAGTAATAATTATTTAATTGTTATTTAATGAAGGCAATGTTTGTTCATAGCTTAAATGTTGGATGCTGTTCTGAGTAGCCTCATTACACAGACGATGGTCTTGTGGCTGAAAGAGTCAAATAACTTGCCTGTGGCGACACAGTCAATAATGGGCAGAGCTGAGAGTTAAACCCAGTTTTCCTGTCTGCACTCTGTGGTGACTGCATCAACTGCCTGATTAACTGCCTCTTTTTCTAGATTTATTTCTTATCACTCTTGCTTGAAAATCTAACTCATTTGGACTACTCTACTACTTATTGTCACTTGTTTTCTTTATCCAATTTCCCAATAATTTGTCAATTAGGTTTTAGAGATAGGCTTTTTGTCTTATATTTTATGTCTCTAGTGCTCACCCAGCATAGTGTTTATTGATTATTACCATATTTATGGAATGAGGTTTTATTTTTCCTAGCTTGACTTTTAAAAAAGCAGATGAGTATAATGTTTTTCTCTTAATTCTGAGAAATACTCCACTTACATGATCTTAGTATTCTGAGCATTTTGGGTTTCTGTTAAGACATTTTTCCCTCATTGATTATAGTGTCTTCTAAAATATATACTGGAAGGCATATGCTACAACTCTGAACTCTGGTAGAATTATTTCTTGAGAGTTTCATCTGCAATTTTGCTGTTTATCTGATGGTACTAAACACTTCAATTAGCATAGCTTTGGCTACACACAGAGTAACTAAGTGTTCAATATGTGTTTGTTGAATTAAAGTGGTGATGATCTCAGCATGATAAATGTCATAATGAATTCCTTTCTTTTCTATTAAGATCATCATTTTGGTAAGGCAAGATAATAACATATTTTAACAAATTCTCTATGTCGTAGGTCCCAAAATTGAAGAGGACAAATGATTTTATTTTTATTCAGTAGTCTTCTGTACCTAAGCATTAGTTTTATCTAACTCCTTTTGATTACATAGCTGAATTGATTTTACTATAAACATATTTTATACTTGGCCACATAAGATTAAGTTTATTAAAGTAAGTATTCAAACAAATAAGTAGATATAGATTGTATTTTCATAATTCCCATTCTAGGATTATCCATTTGATCATGTAATGTGTGAATATTTATAGGCTAGATCATTTCCTCACATATTATTAAAATTACAAGGGAAACTTAAGCATGCAGCTTTATAAAACATAGATTTTATATTATAGACACAACTGTTTTATTAAACTCTTGAAATAAATTCATTCTCTTTTGGACATTCATCTTTGTTTTCCCATCATTTCTAAATTCTGCTTTTAAATATATATATATATATACCATTTTAAAAAATCTAAGGTATTTGACAAATTGGGGGGGAGATGATAATTTCGTAGGGTCTACAAATGTATGTGAGTTTAGTCTAAGTAAAAATGTCATGATTTATAATTTATCAATACTATGTATCAATGAAATATATAACTTCTATTTTTCATTCCTTTTTTCTTCTCCTCTTTCTATAGATGAGTGTCTGTTTTTTCATGCTAGTATATCTAACATTCCATACTTGAACTTGATTGTCTTTGCCTTTCATATTATTAATAAAACTGAGATTCATAAAACCCTTTACCAAGTCTATGGCATTTTATTTTCCAGGTGTAAAGCCAGTAAGTGTGGAGGGGAATTCTGTGCTTTGTCCTGCACCTAGTCTGAATAAAGTTGGAGAGTAAGTACTTCATTAAAAACATTTAAAAACATTTTAGCTACCAATTATTAGGGAATGGTGACAGATATACATTAGTTGTTTTATTATATTTTTTGTATAGTTTGAACATGAAATAGTAAACCCTAAACAAACCACTCTGATTAATACTTCACCTATACTCTTAGTTTAGTAAAGTCTGTTATATCTTATTTCTTAACTATTGATTAAAAAGCTCTATAAATATTTATCTGGGTGGGTTTGAGAACTATTGTAAGAGCCTTTAAAAAATCAGAGCCACAGCCATTATTTTGAACTTCAGAGTATTTAATTTACCCATGTGAGTGTGGTAAACACAAACACACACACACACACACACACATGTACACACACACACGTTCCAAAGTGAGATTTTGAGTAATTGCTATAGTTTTTAAATATTAAGATTAAAGATAAAAATGAAAATGGCTCAATAAGGCACATCTCAGACTAGGAAATACTTTTGCTTTAATTTGTTTTCTCCTGTCAAAGTCTATATTCTTTTTTTTTAAAATATATTTTATTGATTTTTTACAGAGAGGAAGGGAGAGAGATAGAGAGTTAGAAACATCGATGAGAGAGAAACATAGATCAACTGCCTCCTGCACATCTCCTACTGGGGATATGCCCGCAACCCAGGTACATGCCCTTGACCGGAATCGAACCTGGGACCTTTCAGTCCGCAGGCCGACGCTCTATCCACTGAGCCAAACTGGTTTCGGCAAAGTTTATATTCTTACATTCTTCAGTTAAAAAAAGGGATATTTAGTTTGGGAGAAGACCTTTATTTGAATCACCTATACACAAGTAATTTTACTAGTAATTATTTCCACTTATGATTTCTTATATCCTCTCTATTAAGAAGGAAATGATTGGAAACATTTCAAATATTCCCTAGCCCAATAGTAGTGGAAACAACATGCTTATGGTAATGAATAGGATACAGTTTTGTTTTATTTTTTAGGATCACTTTCAACAGATCTTGAATCTAGAGTAGAGGAAAGTAAAATATACAAGGCCCCAACCCAAAATCTGGATTTGTGTTCAAATAACGAAGATTATATTTTTCTCTATGGAACCCAAGAGAATCATGTTAGTAGTTTGAAGTTTACTTGAGCACTTATCTTCTGTGGATGCATAAATATTCAAGATATCTATTGAACATCACTTCAGGTCACCTAAATAAATTTGGGCAGTATCAGCTGTTTATTTTAAATTGATTGAAGTAGTGCAAGACTATCAGACTCTTTTTTTCTTTCTAAGAAAATAGTTATTTTCTGTGTTATGTAATAATCTAGTTTTATTGATAACATGCTCATGGATGTATCAGGCCGTGTCTTGGAATTTGAAGCAGATCCGGCTTAGCCCCAAGTGCACAGTGAGACTCCACAACTTTCTGAGTAATCGTATCCTTGTTAGCAGTGATACATGTATGGACTTGATGTTTGGTTCTATTTTAACAAATCTATAATTCCATATTGATCCTCCTGATCATTCTCCTCCATCTGCTCCTGTAGCTGTCTTTTCTGTCTTAGTCATTGGCAGCTCCGCCTTTTTTGTGGTTCAGGTCAGAAACCTTTGATTCATTAATGATTTCTCTTACATGCGGGCCACCAAAGAACCTCATTAGCTCTACTTTCAAAATATGTTCAGAGTCCAATCCTTCCCCACCACCTCTGCTGATACCATCCTAGACCAAGCTACTGTCATCTCCTGCTTGGCTTATTAGTCTCTCCACTGGTTTTTCTGCTTCTGTTCTTGGCAGGAGTGATCCTGTTAAAGCACTTAAAATCGTCCATAATGAGTCCCCCATTCCACTCACAGTGAAAGTCGAGTCACTGCAATGCTTTACACGGTTCTACAGGATCTGGCCCCTCCTATGTCTCAGACTTCATTTTCCTTTTGCCCTTTCCATTATGGTCACACTGGCCTCTTTGCTATTACTTAACCATGTCAGCTTACTCCCATACCAGTACTTTTTTTTTTTTAATATATTTTATTGATTTTTTACAGAGAGGAAGGGAGAGAGATAGAGAGATAGAAACATCGATGAGAGAGAAACATCGATCAGCTGCCTCCTGCACATCCCTACTGGGGATATGCCCGCAACCCAGGTACATGCCCTTGACCGGAATCGAACCTGGGACCTTTCAGTCCGCAGGCCGACGCTCTATCCACTGAGCCAAACCGGTTTCGGCCCATACCAGGACTTTTACACTTGCTGTTCCCTCAGCTTGAAATGTTCTTCCCCTCGTGGTTCACTCTCTCACCTTCTTCGTCTTATTCAGAGGTCTTCTTCTTAGTAAGCTCTTCTTGGTCACCTCATGTAATTATACAGTCTTATTGTGTCTCCTTCTTGCTAGGGTGCATTTTGTTTGCCTTGTTTCTCGCTGTATCTCTAGCACCTTACACATGCCTAACTACAATAGATTCGCTAAATGTTTGTTACCTGAAGGATAAATACATTTTTCTCCAATACTAGTTATATAAACACTTAAAGGAGCGCATTTGGTTGCTGGGGCCAGGGTCAGAGAAAAATGATCAGATTCCTGTTTTGGAAGGAATGCCATTTAAGAAAGCAGAAAACTATCTTAGATTTTTTTTTTTGAATATTTATATCCATTGATTTGGGAGCTTGCTTTGCCTGTAAACTCACAACCGATAAGGCGCATTGTTGCAAGATCATGGGGGCTGAGGGAGAGAGACCAATATGAGGATCCTGGTAAAGGACAAAGTGAGGAAACTTCCTGTTTCTTCCTCCCTTCCCTGACTCCAGGAGCAAAGAGCCACAGGTTCCAAAGTCCAGGTGGCCTCCTCTTCACCCCCACCCTTGTTATCAAGCTTCCTTTAAAGCAACACATCTTTAAAAATTAAGTTCTTCTGTTTTTGTTTTGTGTATTTTTTTATCATACGAGTCCAAAAAAAACAATGCTTGGGAATTCATTCTCAAGAATTTATGTAGAACAGGTGGCCTAGATTAAAGCCTTGGCAAGATTCTTGGCCAAGCCGAATCCACAAACCAGCAGATCATGCACAAAGGCAACCGTTCTGGTGAGAAATGATGAGTTACTCCTGTCGGGTACAGGATCCCGGAGTTGGTCAGTTTAGGAGCCAAGGGCCTTCTGTCTTTGAAAGTATGAAACCAGGTCTGTGCCAACTCAATACTGCTGCTCTAGGAAGCAATGACAGCTACAGATAATAGAAACACAGCACAAGAAAAAAACCCTGTTTATATTTTATTGAGTACCAAGGAGCTCAGAATAGTCTGTTGTATTTATTTGCCTCTTCCCAAGCCCAGAGCTGCCTCGGGAGAGGATGCCGACTGACCTTGTCCAGAGTGCCTCTTTTGCAAAGTGGTAGGCTGTAGTGACAGGTGTTTCTTCTGTTCTTTTTTGTGGTGACCTACCTCTTCCAGAAACCAAGGGAAAGAAGCTGACAAACTGCTTGGAACGTCTGTGTACAGTTCAAGAGCATAGTGGTTTCTGCGCTGCTCTTTGTGTTCAGATACACCGAGTTTACCATATATGTCAGGTTTCCTCTTGGCTGCCTGGCCTGACAATTAAGCTGATGGTAGACAGATGATTCAATATGAATTGAGCACACTCTGTATGCCATGCATACACCCTGGAGAAACTCTCATCCCTCTGGACAGTGCAGGGCCCTCGACTCGCCTGAACCAAATGACCATCAGTACATTTTCTAATCTGTGCTTTCTGTGTGGGAATCCCTTCTCCCTCTTGCTAGGAGAATGGATGCAGCACCCCCAGATATTAGCCAGTGTGCCCTCTGAATGTTTTTCAATTTGTCATTTGCCGAGAATAACTGAGGAATAATATTTTATCTTTTAATTCTAAGAGGAAAACTAGGTTTGGGGTTTCTTTCTTGTGTTGTGTTTCGGTTATCTTGGATTTTTAATAGTACAGTAGTGTCTACTTAAGGAAGACACCTTACTTTCTTCTCCAAAGTAATTATAAAATGCAATATGCCTGGTCTGTCCCAGACACTGAATGTGCTTTCTTTAGAATTTGCCTTTGGGCATAGTCTCCTTTTGAAGAGACTACCATAGAGACTGCTGATAGTCTTTAGTGACTTGTAGATAGGCTACATTCAGGAGATGTGATTTTTAAAGATCATATAGAGCATAATAAATATCAGACATGACATCCTCCGTTTGGCTTATGACACTAATATTTCACCTACAAGCAAACTGAGATTGTTTGGGGAAGGAGCTTAGTCTAAAGTAATTACTTTTGATCTTTTTATTTTTTGAAATCAAGTACATTATGCCACTGAGGCAAAACTTGAGAAGATTTTGTTAGTGTATGAGGTATTTAGGGACATCATTATTTTTTCTACTAAGTATGTTGCAAGTAATTTGGAGCTTTCCTTTGCCTTGACTTTTCTTCAGATGCTTTTGTAGCTCTCTTCTGAGATTGGATTAAAATCAACACAGCCGAAACACTTTAGCCTTGTAAGGTGACGGATGCTTAATATGCTTGCTTAATTATCTTTTGGCTAAGGTTTCAAACCCATTAAGTAGCTAGTTAGTCTATATTTCAAATGAACACATCTGGCCCAGCAACGAATGAAGGTTTTTCCTGTGTGAGAGTGACAGATGTGACGATGGTTCCCCCTGTTCCCTCACTTAAATAATTAACAACAGGCTGGTGAAGTAGCCTTAGACAGACAGTCTCAAAGCCAGATGTGTAGTCTTAGAGCTGGATCCATGGGCATGTGCCTCATCTCATTAGCCTACTCTAACAGTTCCTTTCTCATCTTTATGTTATATTTCCTGAATTATATTTGTTTGAGGATTATTTCTTGAAAACCCAGGGCTCATGAATTTTGGGTTGAAAGAGGGTTAACATGAAATTGTTGACTTGGAGATGAGAACGAAGGATGTAGCAGAGTAGTTAGGACATAGATTTGCATTCGGAAATTGATATGGAGTAAACAAAAGTTAAAACCACCTGGGCAACTCTTAT